TATAGACCTTCTGAAAATCCCAAGGGTAGAATTACATTTTCTTGTGAAAAGGTGACTTTAAATCAAAGCCCAGAGGGAACATCAGAGGGTTCCATTTTCCTACCTGGCACATCAAGTGCCCAGTTAAAATCATGCCTTTGCAAAAGAAACCTTGTTTAACCACTTCATTATGTGACTTCCTCTAAGCAAAGCGCATTATCTGTGTAGCTAGTACGAGTACTGGGAAAAACACACATTTTGAAAGTGTGGAGAAACTCATCCTACCTGGAAATTCTAATTTAAGAGAATGTTACAAGCCACTGAAGGACCAGCAGTCGAAAAACAAAGGTGTGCAAAAACAAACAACTCAGGTTTCAAAGCCTAAAAACAAAGAAAATAGGAAAGAGTCTAAACTTGTGTAGCCTGTTTGCTCATTGTCAGGACAGATGCTGGGAATGCGCGGGAGTCCGGTCCAATGAAAACAAGTGTGGGTGGTAGGATTATGGCCGATTAATTTTCTTCCTTTCTCTATTTTCCATTTCTTTCCTATGATGAAATGTTACTTCTATATTATGTTAAAAAAAACACAACTTTTTTTAAAAATTACTTTTGTTTCTCCAGCTACCATACCTGTTCATGGCAACTGAGCAAGCCAGTCCTGTCCTCTGATGGTCACGCAAAAAAACAGTGAGTATGAAATATCTAGACAGTCTCACCAGATTTCAGGGCGCACAAACCCTCAGTAAGCTTTTATTTCAAAAAAAATTTAGCATCTCTTTCTATCAGTGTGGACTAATTACCCCTAATATTTAACTCTACTTAAACTGTGTATCAAGAGACTATACATGAGGTCAAATAAGTAAAATACTCTGATGATGGTTAGCTTTGAATGGAAATATGCCATTTGCTGAAATACATTTGCTGTAGGAAATGATGGAATAATTTTATCACAATTATTTCAGGAGTTGATAAAAGGTGCCCATAACAAAATTCATACTGTGACTAGAACATTGCCTTTGTAAAGGATCCATTTATAGGCTCACATGTTTGCATGTTGCAGAAGGATGGCTATGAAGTTGCTTTAGCTTGTGTTTACACTTAATAGAATTGAAGGCATTTAGGAAAAGTTTTAGTTGGATTGCTGATATGCTGAAGAACAAAGGACACGGGGCAGTGTAGAAACCACAGCAGAAATAATTGCATCCTTCAGATTCAAATTCTAAGAAAACTACTAATAGACTAGAAGGATGTTTAAATTCCTAAACCTGAGGGGTCTACATCTTAAAGAACACAGATTCTAGTTAAGACACATCATAGTCAAACTGACAAAAACCAAAGATTAAAAAGATTAAAGCAACCAGTGGAAGATGACATATTATATACAGATATTTTGTGCTTATGGATTAGAAGAATTAATATCATCAAAATGTCCATCCTACACCAAGCAATCTTTAGACCCAATGCAGTCCCTGTCAAAATACCAATAGTATTTTTCACAGAACTAGAGCAAATAATCCTAAAATCTGTATGGAACCTATGGAAGCTAAACGTGAGATCTGAAACCATAAAACTCCTTAAAGAAAATGTAGGCAGAATCTCTTGGACATCAGCCTTAGCAACATTGTCTATCTATGTCTCCTGAGGCAAGGGAAACAAAAGCAAAAATAAATATTAGGACTACACCAAAATAAAAAGCTTTTGCACAGCATAGGAAACCATCAACAAAACAAAAAGGCAAACTACTAAGTGGGAGAAGATATTTGAAATGACATATCTGATAAAAGGTTAATATCCAAAATATATAGAGGACTTACACAACTCAACACCAAAAAACCAAATGATCTGATTTAAAAATGGGCAGAGAAATTGAATAGACATTTTTCTAAAGAAGACATAGAGATGGCCAACAGACAATCAGTAATCATCATGTGAAAATGCAAATCAAAGCCACAATCACCTTACACCTGTCAGAGTGAAATCAAAACACAAGAAATAATGAGTGTTGGCGAGGATGTGGAGAAAAAGGAACCCTCTTGCACTGTTGGTGGGATTGCAAACTGGGCAGTTACCCTGGAAAACAGTATGAAGATTCCTCAAAAAATTAAAAATAGAAATACCATTTGATTCAGTAATTCCACTACTGGATATTTACCCAAAGAAAACAAAAACTCTAACTTGAAAAGATATATACACTCCTATGTTTATTGCAGCATTATTTATGATAACCAAAATATAGAAGCAACCTAAGTGTCCATCCATAGATGGATGGATAAAAAGGATGTGGTATACATATTCTTTTTTTATGACTGAATAATATCCCATTATATATCTCTATATAGGTATAGACATAAACATTCCAAATAATAATAAAAAAACCCCACAGATTTTCAGATAGGATTTAAAAGGAAACCTAACTATAAGAGGTCTATATGAGAAGCACTTTAACTGTAAGACACAGACAGATAAGCTGAAAGTAAATAGGTAGAAAAGATATACCATGTGAAGAGTAGGCATGAGAAGGCTGGCTTGATTGTATTAATATCAGAAAAAAACAGACTTCAAACAAAGCCTTTTACCAGAGATAAAGTGGGACGTGATCCATTTGTCAGAAAACTATAACTTATAAAAATGTATGTGCTTAGTATCAGAGCTTTGAAATATATGAATTGACTGAATTGGGGCACCTGGGTGGCTCAGTCGGTTAAGCGTCTGCCTTCGGCTCAGGTCATGATCCCAGGGTCCTGGGATCGAGCCCCACATCGGGCTCCCTGCTCAGCAGGAGGCCTGCTTCTCCCTCTCTCACTCCCCCTGCTTGTGTTCCCTCTCTCGCTGTCTCTCTCTCTCTGTCAAATAAATAAATAAAATCTTTTAAAAAAAATTGACTGAATTAAAAGAAGCCAAAGATAATTCCACCACCATAGATAGAGATCTTAATACCCCTGTGTCAGGAATTGACTGAACAATGAATCCCTTTCCTTTCCCCCCAAGATCACTAGACATAGACCTTAGTCTAGGAATTGGTTACTGGGGAAGCTCTTTGCTAGATGAGTCACTGCAGAGGGGACCCGGTATCTTTGCAACCCCACTGATAACACAAAAATAGTTAAATTTTTTTTTTTTTAAATGAGTAGATTTGAAGTATTTCTTTTTTTTTTTTTTTAAAGATTTTATTTATTTATTTGACAGAGAGATAACGAGAGCAGGAACACAAGCAGGGGGAGTGGGAGAGGGAGAAGCAGGCTTCCCGCCGAGCAGGGAGTCCGATGCGGGACTCGATCCCAGGACCCCAGGATCATGACCTGAGCCGAAGGCAGACGCTTAATGACTGAGCCACCCAGGCGCCCAATTTGAAGTATTTCTATTGTTATTTCTCTACATGTTCTGCATTAGTTTTTCTTTTCCTTTTTTAAAAGATTTTATTTATTTATTTGAGAGAAGAGAGAGAGAGAGAGAGCGAGAGCACGAGGTGGGGGAGGGAGAAGCAGACTCCCCGCTGAGCAGGGAGCACAATGAGGGGCTCGATCCCAGGGCCCTGGGATCATGACCTGAGCTGAAGGCAGACACTTAACGGACTGAGCCACCCAGGCGCCCCCTGCCTTAGTTTTTCTTGTAACATAATTTTTCCAGCTCCAAAAATGCCTGAACACTATTTTCTGTACAGATTTCCCTCCCATTCCAGTCTACATAATTTTAAGAACCATTTTTATTTTTTAATTGGGATGTTTTGCTCTATGTAGCTTCTCCCCAACATGTGTGCTATGGGTCTTAATAGTGGTGCAAGCCAGGGGAGGGCTGGTTTCTTCAGCGGTTGTACCACTAATGGCCCGAAATGATGGCATAAATAGGCCAGTTCACTTCGTGCTTTTCATCTCTGTTCAAAAGGCAGAAAACAAGAGAGAATAATTTTTTTGATAGAGAAAATTGATAGTAAGTTTAGACTATAAACCTGGTCTTTGAAAAAAAAAGGCACGAGAGGGTTTTGTACTTCCTTCCTCGGCCCCGCTCCAGCTTCTGCCAACGCGCATAGTCTCTGACTCTCTTTTACAAAGGAAAGATTAAAGCAGGGACTTAGCCCACGTTGGTTCTCACAAGACAGCTTCTTCTTCTAAGGAAGCATGTTATAGAACTGGGCCAGCAGGCTCTCCGACCTACTCCCAGCTCTGGTATTTTCTGGTCATGAGCTTTGGATCTGTCAGCCAACCTCTTTCAGGGTCTGATTTTATCTCTCACACAGGGACGGTGTGGATAGGCTGCCCCTCCTGTTTCACAGGGTTGCCGAAAACACATAAATTACATTCTTGTGAATGCGCTTCATAAAGCTGTGAGGCCTGATACAAATATGGGGTATCATCTCTACTACTCTACTACTGTTCTTTATTGAATTAGATCTTATTTAATTAGAAAAGGTGAAAGCTCTAGTAACACTCTCTTAGGTATTTTAGCTCCTTTGGCTTAACCTTCTCTTTTTATTTCTAGTGGGTTTTTACCTCATGCAATTAGGCCTCGTGTCCCAACTGTGAAAAAGAAAAAGAAAAAAAAAAAGTCTTCCATTTCCATACCATACTCTTTGTCTGAGGGTGATTTTTAATTACACATCCTGAAGCATAGTCTCTCTGATCTCAGAAAGTGACATTCCTCTGATTCTAAGTTTATACCCTCAGATAGAAGTCATGCCTGCCCTCCACTAAGTATTCTCAAGTGTGACTCACCCTGGGTTTTTTAAATCCACTTCTTCCTCTGGAAGAGAAACTTGGGCCAGTGTATTTGCCCACCTTATCTGTTACCTCTGTCCTCCACTCCAGGAAATAGACTCATTCCTCTGTTACCCCCAATGCTTGAAGATATTTCACACTCCATAAAGCTATGCCTGATCATATATATCTTTAGATACTAAAAAATAAAACAAAGGGACTTGTATTATATATACATATATATATATATACATATACAGATATATATGTATATATATACACATATATATACACATATATAATGTACATATATATACACACATATATATCAATTATATATATGAAGTATAGTCAAGTGTTGGACTAGGTATAAACAAAGAAACAAACAAGCAAAACACAATTTCCCCCCAAACCTTGCCTTTGTGTAGGGCTTTACTACAGAATGCTTCTTGTACATCACAGGGCCAGAGTGTATTTTTCCAATAATACCTGAATCATCATTAGTCCAGAAGGTTCTTGGGTCAGGCTTGGTCAGGATGCTGGCATGATTACATGGTTCTTTCGCCTTGAAAACATAAGGAGAAAAGAAGTGATGTGAAAATGGATTCACTGTTTCAGCTGTTTCCAACCTACAGTTCTATAGGCAAGAGTCCAAGCCTGAAGCTAGCACATATGGCCGTCCTGGGCAAATTGGGATCGTGGGTGACCCTTGACCTGACGCAGTTTCACCGCCAGGGCTCATGGCTAGATAAGCACCTGGGGGCTGGAACTCAGCTTCCACTAGCTCCCTTCTCCCGTGCTTTTTGCAGTGTGCAAACTATACAGCTGTACGCAGAGGCCTTGTAGGATTAGCAATATATTAACGTAAGGACCCTTATCACATGAAACGTGTTTTGGACTTCTTCGTAATAGAGATGGTACTTTCAGTATATATGCTTGGGAAAATACATAAGGGAGAGCTATTTTTAATTCAGTGGCACTTTAAAATAAATTCTTCTGAAACTAATACCACACTATATGTTAACTAAAGAGAACTTGAACAAAAACTTGAAACAAGTAAAATGAGTTCTTATTTTATAATAATAACAGAATCTATATTTTTAAAATAGCACATATGCATAGGCTATATATATATATATATATGTATATATATATATATAAAATGCATTCAACCTAACATCTCTGCCTAGTGCACATCCAAATAATAGATTCTTCACAATAATTTCCAGGGAACAGCAATGATCTTTTTTTGGGGTGCAACTTTATACTAATGTGATGTGTGGCTTTCCAGTATGTTTCAATTGGGGAAATATAAATCTTAGGGTTAAGAAGGACATTCCATTTATAGATATTTTGTATCTATAATTTGATTACTGTGAAAAGTCCCTGAAATCTATGAAATAGATTTCATATACATATACATATTATATATACAATATTTAGCTGGCCTTTTCTCTCCATAGCAGGTCTTTACCGATGAAAGAAGCAGTGCATCTGTTTGCAATCTGGCATGAGCTCCTTCTCTTGTTGTGAGCTACTACCAAAGAACATGTAGAAATCGGGATCTCGGAGAATTATTTGCACCCTTATGTTCATTGCAGCATTAGTCACAACAGCCAGGAGAGAGAAACAACCTACATGTCTCTAGACAGATGAATGGATCAAGGAAATGTGGTATACACATACAGTGAAATATTATTCTGCCTTAAAAAAGCAGGAAATCCAGGGTGCCTGGGTGGCTCAGATGGTCTGCCTTTGGCTCAGGTCAGGATCCCAGGGTTCTGGGATCGAGTCCCGCATCTGGGTCCCTGATCCTTGGGAGCCTGCTTCTCTCTCTCTCTCTCTCTCTGTCTCTCATGAATAAATAAATAAAATCTTAAAAAAAAAAAAAGAAGGCAATCCCACCATCAGCAACAACGTGGATAAACCTATGCTAAGGGAAATAAGCCAAACATAGAGGGACAAATACTGCATGATACTACTTCTAAGAGGAATCTATAGTCAAACATGCAAAATCAGAGAGTAGAATGGTGGTTGCCAGGGGCTAGGGAAGTAGGAAGTTGAGGAAGTGGGTATAAAGTTTCAGTTACACAAGATGATTAATTTCTAGAGATCTGCTGAACAATGTTGGGCCTAAAGTTAGTATTACTGTAATGTACACTGAAAAGATCTGTTAATAGGGAAGATTTCATGGTAATTGTTCTTACCACACACAAAAAAATCTAGGGATTGGTCACCCTCCTCCATCTGTGAATATATCAGATAGGCACATAAACAATTTGGTAAATAAAAATGGAAGTCGTCTACATTTTATTAATGGAATTTTCTGGTAGTGTAATGTGTTTTTAATTGATAGGAAACATGATTTCAAAAGTTAAATTGTGGTAAAAGAAAATCATGAAAATATAAATCTCAAGGGAAAAAAAAAGAATGTGTGGAACGGCACCATTCCCTGGATGACATTTTGAGCCAGCAATGCAAAAATCCCTCAAACTTCACTAAGTGGCCTCAGTATAAATTCCTTCAAAGGAATAACATATTCCACTAAAATACTGCTCCAATTGTTAAAAGTTCTTTACAAGTTGAATTGAAATCTGGATCCTTGAAACTTTGCTCTTGAGTTGCAGAGAACAGATCTGCTCTCCTTGAGAAATAATTCCTCAAATATTGGAGAGTAGCTATTCTGTCTCACCTGAGCCTCTCATTTCCAGGTTAGCAGGCCTCTTCCCTTCCTCTGTTCCTCATGAAATGGTTTTAAGTCTCTTTACTGAGGTAAAAATTTCAAGCACACACAAAAGTAGACAGTATAATAACCGTTTATGTACCCATTATCCAGCTTTTAACAGTCTTCAACACTTTACCATTTTACCAATCTTAGTTCATCTATTCCCCTCTTTATTAGGCTGGAATATTGTGAGGCAAATACCAGACATCATGACACTTCATCTATAATTTCTTTAGAATGTTTTTAACTAATGACTTTTTTTCCATAACCACATGCCTTTAGCACAACCAACAATTTCAACCATAATTAGATTTATTAAAGTTTAATGAAGGCTGTTAAAGTTTATTTAATTAATGACAGCATAAACATTCTGAAAAACAGAATGAGCCCTTGCACTGTTTTGCATACAGAGCAATTTGGAACTGATGATTAGGAAGAGATCCTTTAAAGTTGTGAGTTCAGCAAAGTCAATGGAACTTAGTCTCACTTACTTAAACCTTACAGGCCTTTGGGGGAGGTTATCTTAAAAAAAATATTTTTCTAATAGAAGTGGTACTATCTTCCAACTTACTTCTAATATGTCCCTGGAGGGAAAGGAGGGAAAATCTCCTTCCCTAATAGAATGGAAAGTTTTAGAGTGTGAAGGTGAAGGAAAGAGGATTACTTCTAGAAGGTCATTGCTGAATGCTTATTCCCTAGAGTTTTGAGATCTAGAAGTACTTTCATAAGTTACTATAACATTAGAACATTAGAAAGATAAGGGCATTTGAAACAAGGATAGAAGTAGTTTAATATTAGAAGGTAGGGTGCATCAGAATAACTCATCTAGGGAGATGTCAGATGTTCAGAAATTTTGGACAAGCTCTGGGAAATGAACCTGTGAATAAATCATTAGAGATTCCACTGACATGAGAAATGAGCCAAATCTTAATTCTATAAAATGCCTTCAGTTAATGACAAGTTGTAATATTTGTAGGATTGCCAGAAAGGAAATGCCTATGGTCCCCTTTCCTCAGTCCATCTTATCCCGGTTTAAAGAACATTGATCCACAATAAATAAATGTACATGCATATATAAATAATTTAAAAATCACCTGTGGTGATGATATAGGAAAAATAAATCAGAACATATGAATTTGTCCCTGATTTACTTTTGACTTATTTATAATCTCTGTATGACTTTTTATGATTTTAGCAGAATGCTACTAAAGTATGCAGTATACTTTGCTGCTAAAGTCATAGTTCTCCCTAAAATACAATAGGAACTCTCAACATGCTTGTTTCTTCTTAACCAGGGAAGTTGATTCTCTCCCATCTCAGGTTACATGATGTTCAAAAGTAAGCAAGAACACTTTATATCTAGGCAAATAAGATTTTGCTTCTTAAACTGCTTTAGTGAAGCTTTAGAAAACATCCTCTAGATGCAATCACAGGATGTAAAGCCATCCCGCAAACATTAAGTTTAAATTCAGTTCTGTGTATCCAAGGGAAGAAAAGTCTTCCTTGATTTTTTTCTCTTGGATGACTTCATTATATCCAACAAGTATTTATTTAGCTTTTGTTTAAGGCCAAGGGGCTATCCTGGTTGTTATAAGGGTACAATGGAAATGCATTGATCACTAGGACCCTACTTTCTGATTTTGGGAGTAAGACATAGACATCCACAAAGATGTCTATGGAACCTCATATCAAGTACCTCTAAATCCAAGATGAAGAATGTTGTATAGCTATTAAATTTTGTCCATGTTTTAAAAAGGAAGCAATAGTGTGGGCAAAGTTGTCAAGCAAGGCTTTAAAGAAGAGGGAGGACTTGAGCAGGTTTGGAAAATACTGGCAACATTTGGACTGGTGGACAGGCAGTAGAAAAGCATCCAGGGTGGGAGGGGCAATACAAACAAAGGTGTGGGAGCAACACTTAATAAGGCATATGGTTAGGCAACTCTTGGTGGAACAATCTCTTGGGAATAGAAGGCTCATGGGAGAAATGACTGGAAACTAGATAGAAGCCAGATGGTGAAAGACTTTGAATGTCAATGAATCCCTTACTCTGAGGGAATTCAAGAGCCTTGGCAGTTTGTATGAAAGACCAGAGTCACAAAGGACCAAAGCCGAGGAGATTAGGAGGCTGCTGCCTTGTCAGAGAAACATTGATGAGAGCACGACGAGCAAGGGCACTGTGAAAATGGAAAGGGCGAGATGGCTGTGAAGGGCAGCTGTAATGATTTTGTAAGATTTGAGGGATGACCAAAAATGAGGGAAGATGGAGGAGTCCAACATATTTCAGAGCTTTGGAACTTGGGGACCAGGAAGGATGGTCAACTGTGCTCATGACTGTCCACAGTCCTCGGCAGCTAAAGAAACCACTCTGCACTGTGCCTCAGCCAACGTGGTGAGATCGTGGAGCACACGTAGGCCCTGGTTCCTGTGCTGTACCTACAGTCCTTCTGGCAGCACTTGCTTCATCTCCGACCCAGACCAGACCCAGACCATATCATCTTTGGGTGCTTAGTGGTGACGCTTGCACAGTTGTGGATGGCAGCGGGGAGCAGGGCGGGGCGTGTGGTTCTCAAGCCTCTACCTCTGGGCTAATCCTCCACATTGCTCATGGCAGGATGAGAATCCATCCACACTGTTTCACTACAACAAACATCCCACAGTCTGTGTATCTGGTATCTCTAATCTGACAGTGTACACAAGGACAGCAAGAGTCTTGTCAAGAGAATCGTCAAAGGATCTCAACAGAGATCCTACGTCTTATAGTTCTGGGTGAACTAATGATTTATCCTCGTTCAGTTGCTTAACATTAATTACATCCATATGACATGGAGCATAGGGACTAT